CCCCGGCAGCCTCCCCTCCCCTACACTCCCCTGCTGCAGCCTGTCCCCTCTCCTCCCCCCAGTAGCCTCCTGTCCCATCCGCCCTCCCCCTCTCCTTTCCTGCCCACACCTGGCTTGCTGGGTGGGATCCCTGCGGGCCAGTCTGGAGCTGGGCAGCGGGCTGTGATCTCAGCTGGTCTCTCCCTTTCCCTGCAGGGCTGCGCAGGTGACCAGGCCCTGGCCAAGCACAACGCCCTGCTCCTGAGGGCACTGCAGGAATTGCAGCGCTGCTGTGCCAGCCTGAAGGAGGAGAACGGCCTGCTGGTGAGCATGAGAAGGGGCCTTGGGTGGCGTCCCGCTCAGGCCTGGCAGCCTGCCTGTGGGCAGAGAGGGGCTGGGCTTGCACCTGGCTGGGAGCAAAATCTGGCAGCAGGGCCGGATTCCGACCCGAGGGCCGGTGCAGGGGGGCTCTGTCTCGGAGAAAGGGACACGTTACCCAGCACTCTCAGCTTCTCTTTTGCCACCTGTGGGCGTCAGAGACACCCCGTCCAGGAGCAGGCTGAAGAGAATTCCTCCCTGGCTGAAAGGAAAATGCCTCAGGCAGAAGCAGGGCCTGGCTGCAAGAAGGAAACCTCATAAGGAAAATTGCTTCTGGGGGGATGGTGCGGACAAAGCTGTAGATGTGGCCGAAGGATCAACTGGTTAGTAACTGAAATCATTCGGAGCCCAGCGTGCAGGGTATGTCTGTACTGCCACCCCACTTCGAACGAGGGAGGCTGCTGGAGGCATTCGAACTTTTAATCCCGGGCTTCGTTTGCAATATCCTGCCAGGAGGTTTAACGGTAGTTTGAATTAGGAGCTTTAATTCGAACTACCTAGCCCGTGCCGCATGTAGCCGCAGGCAGGTAGTTCAAACTATGGGCATTTAAAAATGGCGCCCACCCGGGAACATGCAAATGAAGCCCGGGAAATTCAAATCCCAGGCTTCATTTGCAAGTTCGAATGACTACATTAGCCACCCTAGTTCGAACGAGGGTGGCAGTGCAGACATACACTGAGAGACTAGCAGGTGTATTTGGGTATAAGCTGTCGGGGTAAAACACAAAGCAGCATTCTGCAGGGTTCTCTCTCTTTCAGTCTACATGGGATTTGAGAAGTAAATTCCCAGGCTGTTTGCTGTGTTGGATGTTGCTAGAAATAACGTTTAACGTCACTAAGCCTAACGAGTTCCCTAGGTTTAGTGTCGCTAAGCCTAACCAGTTCATAGAACGGTAGAGCTGGAAGAGACCTCAGAAGGTCATCAAGGCCAGCCCCCTGCTCCTTTGCACCAGCCCCCTGCTCCTTTGCATCTCTCCCGATCTCCATGGCTGTGTCTACATTGGCCCCTATTCCGTAATAGGGATGCTAATGTAGCACTTGGGAATAGGCAAATCCACGGGGGATTTAAATATCCCCCGCGGCATTTGCATTTTCATGGCTGCCGCTTTTTTCCGGCTTGTAGATAAGCTGCAGAAAAGCGCCAGTCTGGACGTGATCCTCCGGAAAATAAGCTCTTTTCCGGAGGATCTCTTATCCCTACTTTCAAGCAGCTGGGAGGGAGCTGGCTCAGGCAAACTGGGGCCAGGTGAGTTCTCTGCTGTCTGTCTGAGGGCCTTTAAAAGCCTCAGCAGTTGGAGGCTGGATGGGAGAGTGAGAGAGCGAAAGGAAGGTGGTGGAGAGACAGAAAGGAAGAAACCGGAGAGAATAATTTTGACCAGCATTAGGTAAAGGCAGCTAGGGCGGGAGCCTGTGGGCTCCTGGCTGGGCTCCCTACCATTGAGACCCACTGCAAATTCCCCAAACTTGGGGGCTAAGGGGAGGAGGCCTACCCAGTGGTGGCTTGGGGAAGAGGGACCCTTGCCACATAAGCCAATCTGGTCGCCTACCACATTTGCTTTTCTTGCTGCGCATCGGGATAGTTTCTTCTTGTGCCTTTAATAAGGCTTCTTTAAAATACTGCCAGCTCTCCTGGACTCCTTTCCCCTTCATGTCAGCATCCCAGGGAATCCTGCCCATCAGTTCTCTGAGGGAGTCAAAGGCTGCTTTTCAGAAGTCCAGGGTGTGTATTTTGCTACTCTCTTTTCTTCCTTTGGTCAGGATCCTGAAATCTACCATCTCATGAGCACTGCTTCCCAGGTTGTCACCCACCTCTACTTCCCCTACTAGTCCCTCCCTGTTTGTGAGCAGCAGGTCAAGTTGCGCACGGCCCCATGTCAGTTCCTTCAGCACTTGTGTCAAGAAGTTATCCCCACAACATTCTCCAAACACTTCCTGGATTGTCTGTGTACTGCCGTATTGGTCTCCCAACAGATGTCAGGGTGATTAAAGTCCCCCTTGAGAACCAGGGCCTGCGATCTGGAAGCTTCTTTCAGTTGTCCGAAGAAAGCCTCGTCTACCTCATCCACCTGATCTGGTGGCCTGTAGCAGGCACCAACCACAACATCACTGCTGTTGTTTGCTCCTTTAAACTTAACCCATAGGCTCTCAACAGGCTTTTCTCCCTCTTTATACTGGAGCTCCTAGCAATCATAGTGCTCTGTTACGTACAGTGCAACTCCTCCTCCTTTTCTCCCCTGCCTGTTCTTCCTGAACAGCTTAGACCCTTCCATGACAGTGCTCCAGTCATGCGAGTCATCCCACCACGTCTCTGTTATTCCAATCTCCCTAGGTTTGGCGTCGCTAGGCCTATCGAGTTCCCTAGGTTTGGCGTCGCTAGGCCTATCGAGTTCCCTAGGTTTGGCGTCGCTAGGCCTATCGAGTTCCCTAGGTTTGGCGTCGCTAGGCCTATCGAGTTCCCTAGGTTTGGCGTCGCTAGGCCTATCGAGTTCCCTAGGTTTGGCGTCGCTAGGCCTATCGAGTTCCCTAGGTTTGGCGTCGCTAGGCCTATCGAGTTCCCTAGGTTTGGCGTCGCTAGGCCTAACGAATTTCCTAGGTTTGGCGTCGCTAGGCCTAACGAATTTCCTAGGTTTGGCGTCGCTAGGCCTAACGAATTTCCTAGGTTTGGCGTCGCTAGGCCTAACGAATTTCCTAGGTTTGGCGTCGCTAGGCCTAACGAATTTCCTAGGTTTGGCGTCGCTAGGCCTAACGAATTTCCTAGGTTTGGCGTCGCTAGGCCTAACGAGTTCCCTAGGTTTGGCGTCGCTAAGCCTAAATTGGCGTCGCTAGACCTAACGAGTTCCCTAGGTTTAGACTCCATCACTCAAGCACACAGCACAGAAAGCTGCAGAGAGAGAAATCTGGAGTTGCCAGCAGCTGCTGAGTGTCATTTTCTTACTTTCTGTTGCGTAACACGTGCCCCTTATTTCGGACCCCCTGGCCGCAGCCCACAGTGGCGATGCAATAAGTCAGGTCCCTGGCTGATGCGGCCTTCCCAAGGGAACCCCGTTCTAGGCTTGTTTTCTCAAAAAACAGCCGTGCCCGTGAGTTCAATGGCGCTTCCTCCAACATCAAGTGCCCTCTAAAGGGCCTTAGCTTCTTTGGTAACTTCATTTAAATCAGGGTTGTGTTTGGTGATTTCAGTGCAACCCGCCCTGCTGCTCACGGCTTTCATCTTTGCTGCCCAGCAGGCATGTGCCCTCCCCTTCAAAGCTCAGGGCTCCCAACCCCAGGGTGGGGGAAGCTATGGGAGAACTCGGGGGAAGCACAGAAGCATAGGCAGGCTGCAGAGCCTGGGAGAGACTGCTGTACCAAGCAGAGCCCTCTCCTCCATAGCCCCCTCCCCCCACACACATCAGCTGAAAAAGCAGTTGACAAACTACTTGGATGGCCCTGGAACAATAGGGTCGAGGAACCTGCATCGTGTGATGCTGTACCTGCCCCCCATGAGGCATGGCAACCCCTTCCCAGGTGCATCATGGGATAGCTCCCATGGTGCACTGGCTCGGTGTGGAGGAAATAGCAGTTTGTGTGGATGTGCTTCACCGACACAAGCAGCCAGTGTGGACACACAGCAGCTGTTTCTTTAAAGCGGCATAACTATTGCTGAGAAAACGTTGTGGCATGGACCCGGCTGTCCGGGAGCCTTGTTACTGTGCCCGCTGTCAGCAGTCAAACAGCACACGCTGTACCCGTCAGCGGCGAGGCCTGCAGAGAGTGGAAAGGTTTGCACTGAGCCGCGTGGCCCCGTACTAAACGTGCTCGTGTTCATTGAATCCTTTATGCTGCTTTAATGTGGTTTTTAAAAAGAGCTGAAGAAGGCACAAGCAGCCCAAATCGATGGTTTCAGGGACAATGACAACTAAGCCCGGGTTGTTTTTCACTTCAAAATTCCCTCAAAAATCAGCCTCTTTACAATCTCCAACACAGATGTGGAATTAATCACGTTTCAGAATACTCGGATTTTGCATCGTTTTATCAGCCCACCCGAGTCCAGTCACCCCACCACGGTGTCGCCGCTGCTCCGCTTAGGAAAGTATTTCTCAGACCGGCTCTTGCGGGTCTTATTCTCGGCATTGACTCCGCTCTCCTCGCCCAATGGCTGCCAAGAAAAGGGAAAGAAAATGGC